AGATGTGGTATGTTATTTACTACTCCCTAGCATCCTCACCTCATTAACTGTTGTAGATTTTTCCTTCCTATAAAAGTTGATGTTGGATATGGGACATGGTTCACCATTTGCCGCTTGGCAAGCATAAGCTTTCGCAGATAGCTGAACCTCTATTTTCCATCTAGGTGTCTATATACTCGGGATATGACCAAGAAGATTTTTGGGTTCTTCTGTTGGAGGAGGTGGATGTGGTAAGTTCCTTCTTGACCTTGTGTATTTTCTTGACATAATCCTTGCAAGACTTGCATTGAACATCGATGTGGTGCATTTTATTTGGGAGAACGTCAGTGATAGTAGAGAATAAAAAATTGATTTTGATGTTATGGAACATGGGGGAGTTTCGAATAGCTTTGTGAGGTGTGTAGGAATAATAGTGGAAAAGGAGTGTGGTCTCTTGGGAGAGCCGACTAGAGGTGTATAAGTTGAATGGAGGATGAATGAAGGTGTGAGATCGTAACAGTTACTGCAGTTTAAAGAAATTGGTGCCTAAGGCTATCACAATCAACATTGTCAAGTTGTTGGGGATAAGTAGCACACATGTCATGAGTAAAGGCAGCATGAATTATCAACATGATAATGGTGGTGGTACTCATAGAATGGTCATGGCAAAGGATTAAAGAAGCAAAATAATTCCCATTAGCCGTAACTACTATTAACTATCAAATTAGGAATATTAAGAATAACAGTAATACAAAAAATCCATAAAGAATAAAATTGTTAAATGCAAGTATATTGTGATTTAGCATATATGTAAGATGTCACTTCATAAAGATAATAAGATGCAATCATGTAAAACAAAATACTAAACACTTATGACAGTTAAAAAAAATTAGTGCTGGAGGCCAAACATTGAGAAGTAGTTGGAGATAGATAGCACATTTGTGATAAATGAAGACAACAGTGGCCATTGCCTTGATAACGGAGGTGGTTCTACTCGGCGTTGCAATTCAATATCACACTGCCAAGGCACCCGAGTGGAGTGGAAGGGAAAAGATTTTAGGATTTTGGCTCAAAAGTTAGTTCTGGAAAGAGGTTTAAAGCATTCTAAAACATGCCCAAGACACACTGAGATATTTTAAACACGAAATACCTTCCAAAGAGGCAATTAGCCATGCACTGGTGCACATAGAGTCCCAAATATAAGCAATGTTTAAGGCAGTGCATGAATGATTCCTAGATAGTTAAATTAAGGCAGTGCATGAAATAACTTCCAAACATGGATGATTCCTAGATACTTCTAATGAATTTAAAATGAAGAAAAGTATAGAAAAACTTTCTTATTGTGATGAAATTCTTTTATTAACGATGTCAGTCGAAGGGAGTTCCATGTCTCCTCTCATGTTGCAAGTCATCGTTGGCAGATGATTGTCAAGGCCCCATGGTAGGCGCCAAACTATAGATGCAAAAAATCTACTGTTACTAAAATAAGGTCTGATCCTGTGAGGTTGAGGCCACTGACAATCCGTTAGACCTGCACACATGAAAAGATAAGTATGAAGCTTACGAAAAACACCAGGGTGGTGTTTGCCGCAGGCACTTCGACACTCAAGTCAGCAAAGCTGAAAAAGACAATTTAATGAGAATTAGGGAAAAAAAATATTATCGGAGGCCTGAAGGTGTAGAATTCTTGGGAGTAAGAATTTAGGAGTAAGGAGGTGATTTTGAGTATTGAATATTGGATATTGAATGAATTATGAGAGGGTAGACCTCTATTTATATAGTGAACCCAAGGGGTTGGAATCCTAGCAAGACACTAACTTCTACTTTGAGAGAAAATCCCTATCAGGAAAGAAAGATATTTTCTTGTCCTTATCAGGTTATATTAACTAGTTTGAGTAAGATTCGGGAACTTAATAGAAGAGGAAATAGAGTTAGATTCTAATTTCCTATTTATGGACTATTGTAGGCTAGTGGGCCGAAACCCAGTTTTAGCTTGACTTGTAGGATGGCCCAATTCATAGAGTGGGCAATTCACAAGGTAAATTTAAGCATAGACTCAACTGAAATTAGGCTAAAGCCTTAGATCGTGACATGTTTATTTCGTTATTGGGCCTCGTCAAGCCAAAGATGATTTTGTGATATTGATATATATAGATCTATCTAATATATATTATATATATTATAAGACATTTTCAATTCTTTGTTATTCTACATTTTAGACTTCAACATCCACTCTCTTAAATCTCTACAACATACTATTTTAATTTAAATTAGTTTCTCGATAAAATAAGAATAACATTATTTTTTAAATCAAAATAGAGAATACATATTGTGAACTTTTAAATTCTCTATATCTAGTTTTTATTAATTTATTAGAAATGTATACTGTAATCTTAATCAAATTTTGTTCTTATCTTTTTCTATGTATATGCTTCTATTTGTATGAAAGAAGATGTAAGTTATTTTGTCAACTTATGATTCTTTGGTGTAACACAAGTCATGGTATGAACACTTCAATTTGATTTTTTGCATAATCATTTTTGTTTAAATTTCCAGTGTGATGACCTTGTGTGAAAAGTGACCACCTTCTATTATGTTGTTTATCTGCTATATCAGAAGAGCACCTCCAAGTCAGAGTGATCACAACGCATCTGACAGATTTATTTGGGTAACACGTGTTATCTTCTAGAATGCATGAGTTATTTTATTCTCTTTTGAGATATTTGTGCGGTTCATAACACTTGTCATTTTTATATTCAATGTGCTGGAAAGTTTTATTCTCTTTGATAGGTGGCATCTTGATATTGGAATAAACTTTTATAAAGGTGAATGCAATAAAGTTATTCCTTGTCACTTGTTCCCTTGCATTAAAGCTCAAGTTTTCTATATATTCGTCTCCTCCAATTCAATTCTTTTGAAGCCTAATTATTCCTCTGATATTACTCTGAAAATTCCTTGAGATTTCTTTTGTTTGAATCAGGTTTCATATGTCTTAGGCATGTTGCTGAACTATGTAAAAACTCTTGGTGTTGTTTTAATTTGGTTTATTTTTATTGCTTTATGTTTATGTTCAAAGGACTCTTAAAATCAACATAGCAACCCATTCTGCCTAGGTTTAATTCACTTAGTAAAGGAATTAAATCTTTCAATTGGTATCAGAGCTTGTTCTGGAAAATTATTTCAGTTGTGGGTTCCTACCTCCTATAACTAAATTTCTTTTTATTCTACTATCTTGAACTCTCTTTCAGTTGCCATTGAACATGGAAAATATAATGTAAATCTTGTTTGTACAGAGGTGTGAACTTGGGAAAAGGTCTCTCATGGCTGCTACAGATCTTTTAGCTGCGGTAAGCACATCATGCTTCAAAGCTTAAACTTGGTTTTTAAGGATTCATTCAAGCAAATTAATTTCTACATAATAGAGATAATGTAAACATCATAATTTGCTCTAGTTTCAACATCAAGTGTGTTTTACTACCTTTAAAGCAAAGAATCCAATTCGCTTCGATGTTAAGAGATTGAATTACTTTAATTTTAATCTGGCTAATGGCTTTTGGTTTTCAACTTCAGGGTTTTACCGGCATTACTGATATGGCTGGAGGGTATGCTACCTGGAGACAGACGGGACTCCCAACTGAACTTTGATTCATGGATTTGGAAATCGCTCTTTCTATATGAAATATAACCTTGGTCAAAAACTGGTGAACAACAGAGATGGGTAAATGTTGCAGAAAGTTTGTGTAAAGTTTGAATCAATAACAATATAGTAGATGAATAAACAAGATATCACCATTGGTCCCTTTTCTTTTTCTTAAATCTCTGAACAGAATACTTCCAGGGATTTATAATTGAAATATAAAATATGTATATAACATAAATTTTGTTTATTTTAATTTAATTTACAAGATTTCCTTAATCTTATGGTTCTCCCATTTGCTTATTCAAGTCTTGACTTGTATAAAGTACAAACAACTCCAAGAAATTCATGGCTTGGATATATCTTTGTGACCTTTTTTCTAGTGAAAAGTTTCAGGTAAGGTCAACATGGCTTTTAATGTTATTATATATGTATTGTATTTTAATATTAAATTTTGTGGTGTTAAGCACGGTCAAAAACTTATTCTGAGAACCGATCGAAGCTGAGGTATAACCACCACGGTGGTTCCAAGAACCTTATCCAGCACGAAAAGGAAAAGTTATTTAATATGATTCACCTATACAAATATATAACTTTGTTTTCCTGTTTACTAATTTTATTTCAATTTATAGTCAATGACAATATGAACTGTTAAGGCGCACCAACTTGGGAAATCTATCAGTCCTATACAATTATTTCATGACACTCGTTGGAGCACCGAGAAATGGTGGATTAATGAACAAGTGAGAGAGCTATATGTAAGTTGATCATCTTTCAATTATCGATATATGAAATGTCTTACCATTGAATTGGGTATAAATGTATTGTTTTTCCGTAACTGATCCATACTGCCGTGCTTTTATTATTTTAATTTGAGTCTCATTGCATTTCTCTATCATCTTTTGACCTGTAATTATGTTGGTGCTTGTGCATTTGTTTGATATTGGCATTTAGTTTTCTTGAGCTTTACCAAACTCTTATAACTTTGCTATGGTTTGCTATTGATATGTTACAAACATTGCAGGATAGGGCTGAAATTTAACTTGTGTTATATTGTTTCTCTTGATTGAACTTAATAGTTTGTATTTTTTAAAGTAGAAAGTTGGAGTTTCTTCTAGTAGGGAAAACCTGTTTCATGGTTTATGTAGATATTTCAAAGTTTCTTCTAAGCATTTTTGCGTCAGTTGTCATCCATCCTAGGGATATGCTATAACTAAAAGTGCAATTTTAGGAGCCTTTAAGAGCATTTTTATTTTCATGGATTGATTTTATTTATGTTAGCATGTTGTTAATTGATTAGTAAATATGTAACTTCAAAATATCACCTAATGAGGTCTGGATTCTGTGGAGGATTTCATGATCTAGATATTATTATTGTCTGAATTTATAATCTAAATGTCATATCGCTATAAAAGACAATGTAATCCTTGTTTCTGGAAAGTAGTGTTCCCCCAGTCAATTTCTGCGTGCACGAGCCAAAAACATAGCACTAAGAATTATAGACAGTTGCACCAGGAAAGCTGCTAAAGAAGAAAATTCAATCCAAGCCTCTTAAAATATAGTCACTGGGATGAAGTAGACAATGAATTTAATTAAAGCAACTCTGCTGTATAAAACTTGACACTTCAACATTTTTCTCATTGAGCATAGCAAAAATTAAGAAATTTATTTTAAATGCTCTACATTCAAAAGGCAATACTGCTGTCAGATCTCACCTTGAGTTCCTCTGCCATCCTCTCATTACTTGTATTCAGTACACCACGTTTTATTGCTATCTTTGCAATAGCATTCTTTTCCCATAGCTTTACCATTGCCTGAGCTAGGCCTTGTAGTTGTCTGTTCCTTCCTAGGAAAATTAAATAAAAACAAAGCCCTTAAGAATGCACAATTTGCTGAACATTACAATCATATACAATAGATTTGACATACCAAGGGCAAAATGTGGAGGCATTTTTCTTGCAAGCCTACGAAACGTCGTCACCTCATTATCTCTTAAAGACTGCCTTATGCCATAAGGGAGAAGTCTGAATGGTGGTATATATCCAGGAACCACAGGAGGAAGCAAGTCTTCATCTACAGGCAACGGCCCACTGCCAGGCCAATCTGTAAACCGCGGACCCAGCTCATCTAACAAATAGTTGAATTCGGTTAAGTCCATAAGTTCTTCCTCAGAAAGATTCTCCAAATACTTTGCAGAAGGTATAAATGATTCCGCAGACCCAACCAAATTGTTCTCTCCTGCATTATGCATCAAATTACTCACAACATTATCTGAGCTAAGCATCTGATTTTGTTTTGTAAATGATTGTCCACAAGGAAGTTTGTAGGCCATTCCCCTGAACAAAACCACTGAGCTGCCTGATCTCCATATAACCAAACCCCCAGTTCTCCTCTGATCAAGCATGAAACACATTTCAAGTAAACATCAAGTTCTATCAATTTGACAAACACCTAACAAACAAAACGAAAACATTAAAATGTCAATGACCAACGCTGACCTCCAAAATCTCATGAGTCCTCTTCATGTTAAGCGAATGAGGCTCTTCGAACTTTAGTTTCACAACCTCATCGACCTTCCACTTCTCATGAATACTATCCACCAATGCCTGCGTAATCCCAGCGCTCTTGACTTTGATCCTCTCCAGCATTCTCAAAGAAACATTTCTAAGTCTCCGCAATTCGTGCTCAGGGATCATTCTCTCCGCCAACTCCGTGTTGTTTCTCCTCCTCTTATCTCCCTCGTTATCCGTATCTCTCCTCCATGGTGCCCTATTTGAACTACAATTCTCTCCACTCTCCTTTAGGCCTTCGTTCACAGAAGTGGCGCCGTTTAAACCCCCGACAACTGTTTTTGGCTTGCTACTTGGAAACTCAATACGTTTTTCCTCAATTCTATCATCAATTTTAATTTCTTCAACCCATTTAACTTCATTATCCAATTTATTGACTTCTTTAACAGCATTACTTACAAGAGACCCATCAACATTTTCTTCATTTTTAGTACCAATTCGTTAGATTTTACGTTGAGAATAATTTCCATGATCCCAGGGAGCTGAAACAAAACTTCTGGCAAAGCAGAACTCACCGGGACACTCACTGATGACGCCACATCAGTTTCTGCAACACCAAAAGACTGCGGGGTTTTCAATTCTTCTACTTCCTCTTCCTCTTCCTCTATCTCTAGTTCTTGGTCTTGTTCTTTTTCTTGTTCTTGCCATGGAAACCTCTCTCTTGGTGAACTTATTTTCGAAGACCATTTATGGCGAATTTGCTGGAAGAAGCTTGGTTTGAGCTTCTTCTTGGTCCTCATTGTCTCGGCTTGAGCTTGAATGACATGATGAGCACAACAAGTTGCAATTCTAATGGTTTTTGAACAGTTCGAGGAATGGGTTTGGGGTTGAGGAAGAAGAGCATGCAGAGAATAATATTTGGCTTGAAGCGCCATTGCCATAGTGATGATAATCATTAATCAATACAAATTATCTTGTTTCACTTTGATATTGGATCGCTTCCACAGTGACTTTGTTACAGTGTCCACCAGTGACCACTTCAATAATTACACGTGTAATGTTTATATTCACCTGCCTATATAGATAACGAACCAAATTAAAAATTAATATCATCACGTTCATTAAGAGCAATTAAATTTTGATTGGATCCAATAAGTTTAGAGATTAGAGTTCAATATCTATTTAATTGATGTGGTAGGGAACCCGATACTAAATCTATAACGAAGAAATGTATGGCGATGCTACGAATCTTAACCTCAAAGGGTTGGTTTGATAGATAACGTCTTCCTTTTTTTGAATTCTTGGGTTTAAATTTTAGAATTACTTATCACAATAATATTATGGTTTTCCTGATTTTTTGAGTTTATAAAATGTTTAATTGACTTCGAAGATTAATCGAAATACGCATAAACGAGTCCAGATACTTCGATTAAAAAAAAAAAGATCTTTCTCCCTTACTTGTGTGTGGCCAAGATATTGCTTAACCTTGATACTGACACTATTATGTAATCAAAAACCTCCCAATGCAGTTGTTGTGGAACATCTTTATCTACTATAACTTTATGCCGTCTGCAATTCATGATTAAAAAAAAAAAAAAAAACAATATTTTGATTGAGAATATAAAAGAAGGAGAATCAAAGTGTATTCAACCAAAAAATATTGCGATATTTGGAGACACTCACTTGTTTTAGCTCCTGCAAAAGAATAAAGTTTCATCATATTTTGCATTCTTAAGTTGTGTAAAAATACGAGTTGAATTGATCGGAGCATAGTTCACTCACTCCGCTTGGCCTGGAATGAATGGAAGGACATATGTTAGAATTTTAATTTAATTAAAATTATATATTTGGTCCTGCAGTTCTTATTAAAATGTAATTTTAATAAATAGATAACTATGACAGTTGCCTTTGATGGAAAGACAATTGCATAGATAATGAGACAATAAGTACCTATTGTCAAGGGCTGAGATATATTTGGATTAATCTTACCACATTATTAGGAGTTGTTAGACGTGGGCTATTATTTCTCATTTGTTTGTTCTGACAGTAACCTAGTTTGTTCTTCATAAAAATGAATTTTCTCTTAAGTTTTATATCCTTTTGTAAGTCTTTTTTTGGTTCCTAACGTCTGGTTTTGAAGCCACATCGCAGGGCCTGGTTAAATTAGAAGCTGCAGTCTTCTACGTGTGTAGTAGTTGCAGTATGATGTCAAAGAGTTCATTTGTTCAGCCAATAGTTCCAAAATTTGATGGGCACTATGATCATTGGGCAATGATCATGGAAAATTTCTTGCCATCAAAGGAGTACTGGGGCTTAGTGGAGAATGTGATTCCTACAACAGCAGAAGGTGTTGTTCTCACGGATGCCCAAAAAAACAACATTGAAGATCAGAAGTTGAAAAATCTGAAAGCAAAGAACTATCTCTTTCAAGCACTAGATCGTTCGATACTGGAGACAATTGTCAACAAAGATACAACGAAGAACATATGGGACTCTTTGAAGCAAAAATATCAAGGTACAACTCGAGTTAAGCATGCACACTTGCAAGCTCTCTGGAACGAGTTTGAAACTCTCCACATGCAGGTAGGAGAGTCTGTGAATGAGTATTTTGCTCGGACTCTTACCATAGCTAACAAGATGAAAGCAAATGGTGAGACTAAGGGAGATACTACTATCGTTGAAAAAAAATTGAGATCCATGACTCCTAAGTTTGCCTATGTTGTGTGTTCCATTGAGGAGTCTATAGATACAAACACTTTAAACATATTGTCACAAGCTAGGACATTTTCAATGGGAATGTCCAAGCAACGAGAAAGAGGTCCACTATGCAGAGACTGAAGAAGAAATGTTGTTGGTGGCGTACATGGATATGGACAAGGCCAATAGAGAAGATATGTGGTTCCTTGACTCGGGATGTAACAATCATATGTGTGGGAAGAAGGAATACTTCTCGGATTTTGATGAAAACTTCAAAGATTCTGTGAGGCTAGGGAACAACTCAAGCATGGCCATACTAGGAAAGGGTAATGTACTACTATAGGTGAATGGAATAGCATAGATCATCACAAAAGTATTTTATGTGCTCGAGCTAAAGAACAATTTGCTTAATATTGGGCAATTGCAAGAAAAGGGCTTGCCATTCTGTTTCAACATGGAAAGTGTAAGGTGTTTCATCCCGAGAGAGGCTTAATCATAGAGCCAAAGATGTCTTCGAATCAAATGTTCATACTGCATGCTATATCTCAACCTAAAGCATCTGCTTGTTTTAATACAATTGTAGAAGACATGGTGCAACTTGGCACTGTAGATTTGGACACTTGAGCTTTAAGGGCTTAAAGACTCTTAAGCAGAGGAAGATGGTGAATGGTTTACTACAATTTAAGTCTTCCTCGAGGTTATACAAGGATTGCATGTAAAACAACTATCTTAATAGCAATTTTATCAATTCCATGAATGGCAAAGAATCAACAATATAATCATATTTCTATGCCCTAAAATTGCATAATCTTAAATCCCAAAAATGAGAAACTTTGATGCATTTTCACTATTTATAAAACCAATAAAGCATACTTGAATCCATGTGTAATCTTTAAATGAGATTGTGAAAGAAGACACTATATATCTCTCCCTTTGTTTCTTTATAGAGATGGGCTTTTGCCCCGGCCCCATGAGGATCCGTCCCGACCCAGCCCGAATGAGCCAAGGAATCCCCCAAAAAAATGGGGATAGGGCCGAAGATGGTCCTAAGTTGTGTCCCTGCATCCAGGGATGGGCTGAGGTAGGGGATAGTTCAATCCCTACCCTGCCCCGGCCCAGGCCCCGTGAAGCCTCGGTTGCCTCGCTTTTTTGAGATTTTTTTTTTTTTTTTGGTTTTCCTTTGCGAGATTATATATAAAATTAAGTTTAAATCATAATTTTAAGTAATGTATCTAAATTTATGATTAATCTTTTATATATTTTCTAATGTTTGTATTAAATTTATAGAAAATAATCTAAATGAGAGAGTTTAATAATTAAATATATGTATTTTACTTTGTGAATCACAAAGTAATAATACATGACATGGCCCAAATAAATTTAATTAATTATTACAATTTACAAACCATAGAATAATATATATTGATTAAGACTTCAAATTACACAATCAATTATCCTTATAATTAATTAATTGATCGATTAATATATGTGTAAACTTAATCAAATAAGTATCTGTCCCTTTCACAAATAGACTAATTTACTAGTTGTAGTGGGATATGTTTATGAATTAATTCCCCAATTTACCTAGTAAATTATGTTAAGATTGAATTTAGTTATGTTAATTTCATGAAAAAATTAATTAACATGGCTAACTAAACCTAAGCCTCCATACAATTGAATAACTAAGCAATTTACCTAATAAATTATGTTAAGTTTAATATAATTATTGTATTTTCATGTTGGAGTTTGTCTGAGTACTCCAGCTGCAGTAATCCAACATTTTAACTTTCAGTAAATGGGCCCTGCTTTTCCAATCATTCAATGGCCCCTCCCTGCGTTCCTTTGAATTTCAAAAGTATTTAAGATCCTTAATTTTCGATCATCTAATAAATCACTTAATGAAAGTAGATTATCGTTCCATTCACTCAAAATTTCCATAATCCCTTCTCGACCAAACATGAAATTTTTGATTCATTTGACTCTCACACTCAATTACTTGAACTTTTATGTATGAGGGGCATTCCCATATCTTTTTTTTTTTTTTTTTTTTTATATGAGCTTATCCTCTTCCTCTCTTCTGTATTCATATTCCAAAATGCCATGACTATCGATTGATCACTGAAATCAAGACAAGAATATCGAAGGACCTCTTCTGACCAAACAAAAATGGGCAACGCAACACACTCGGGGGTCCTACTCCCCGTGAGCCACGAGGGTTGCAGGGGCGCTAGACGCATACTTGTAGCAATGATCTGAATGATTATTACATTTTATTGCTTTGAAATCCATAGTAGGTTCCAATTTTTGCCAAGAAATTGTTATTCACCATATTCAATTATTCATATTAATTTGTTTTTTAAATCTTAATTTAAATTTTACAAGAAATTGTTAGATTATATTTTCTTACCTTAAATTATGTCTTTTTAATGAATTAAGTTAATTAACTACTGAAATTAAACAGTACAATTGTTAAATATAATACTTATTAGCATACTAGTTTTTCACATTAAAATATAACTTTACGAAAAATTTTAATTTACACAGGGGATAAATTCCTCGCGAAGCCCCGATTATCGGGCTAGGACAGGGATGGTCATAATTTTGTCCCTGCGGGCCGGGGACGGTCATGAGAAAAATCCCTGCCTGCGGGACGGGCCGGGATGGTCCTCAGAGAGGGTAACGGACAGGCCCGGGGCATAGGGTCCCTGGCCGTGACCCGGCCCGCGCCCATCTCTATTTCTTTATTATCAATCTCTTCTTTTGATGGATAAAGAAAAATATATGTATGAATTAATTTGGGAATAGAGAGAGAAGACCTCTTTTATATGGGTTCAAAAACTCCGACACTGTAGTTATTTAATTACTACAGTACCCTCTCCATCAAAGGTAAATGACCATCATGCCCTTCTTAATTTATTATTCAAAACAACTATACATAAAGTTAATACATGGACCACCTTATGAGAAATGTAAAATATTTCTAACATTCTCCCACTTGGTCCATGAAAAAATAAATAACTTTATAGTTTAGAAATAATACATAATGTGTACACAATAATAATTAACCAAAAAGGCTATTTCTTAAAATGGTCAAGCATATAAATATTATTAAGCAAGAACTCATAAGGATCATGGCGGTCGTATGTTATTGAATTAACACAATCCCTTCCATGTATCACATTATAAATTCTATACCCAGAATAATCTATAATGATTCTTAATGGTCCAACAATAATGTCCTTATCAAGGACATATTCTGTCATCTTTATCATTTATGTATACCAAACAACATCATACAAAGAAACACGCAACAAAATAATTTATATAAATCAGAAACAACACATCAAGAGCTCAAAGTGTCCAAAACATGAGGAGCATAATGTAAATCAAAGAAACATATACAACACATCATAAATCAGTCATGATGGGCAATAATACTCATCCTCTCAATGTGCTCACTATAGGTCTTAGGTGACAACCCTTTAGTCAGTGGATCTGCTATCATAAAATTTGTGCTGATATGCTCAATAGTCACTCTCTGTTTTTGAACTTCTTCTTTAACGGCAAAATATTTCAATTCCATATGTTTAGCACCTTTTGAATATTTGTTGTTTTATAGAGAAGAAAACTGTTGCGGCATTATCACAATAAATTTTCAGTCGCCTGGCAATACTTTCGACAATCCCAAGCCTTGAAATAAAATTCTGCAGCCATAATCCCTGAATTGTGGCCTCAAAGCATGCAACAAATTCAGCCTCCATAGTGGAAGCAACAATGACAGAATGCTTCACCCTTTTCCACGAAATTGCTCTTCCAGCTAACATAAATACGTACCCAAATGTGGATGTTCTGATGTCTACACAACCAGCGAAATCTGAATCTGAATATCCAATTACCTCGAGATAATCAAATCTCCTGTAAGTAAGCATGTGATCCTTTGTCCCTTGTAAATATCTCAACACTTTCTTTGCAGCTCACCAATGATCCATTCCAAGATTACTCTGATATCTACCCAGTAAGCCAACCACAAAACTAATGTTTGGTTTGGTAAATGTCTGAGCATACATTAAACTTTCGACAACAGATGCATAAGGAATATGCTCCATTTGCTTACGTTCCAATTCAATCTGTGGGCATTGCTTAAGGCTCAACTTATCACCTTTCTAAATTGGAACTGGACTCGCAGAGCACTTATCCATATTGTATCTCTCTAGTACTTTATTGATATAAGCTTTTTTAGACAATCCCATCAATCCTTGTGATCTATCATGAATAATTTCAATTCCAATCACATGGGATGCCTCACCCATATCCTTCATCTCAAAGTTCTTAGAGAGAAACTTCTTGGTTTCATACATCATATCAAGATCATTAGTAGCAAGCAAGATTTCATCAACATATAGAATTAGAAGTACAATTGTGCTCCCATTGACCTTCAGATATATACACTGATCAACAGTGTTTTCCTTAAATCTGAAAGTGGCAATGGTATTATGAGACTTAAGGTACCACTACCTAGAAGCTTGTTTCAGTCCATATATTCATCTCTTTAATTTACACACCATGTGTTCCTTCCCTTTAATTGGAAGACCATCAGGTTGTTCCATGTACACTTCTTCTTCTAAATTCCCATTCAGAAAGACAGTTTTCACATCCATTTGATGAAGCTCTAGATTATAATGGGCTACCATTGCCATAATAATTCTAAAAGAGTCCTTGGAGGAAACTAGTGAAAAGGCATCGTTGTAATCAACACCATCTTTCTGAGTAAAACCTTTAGCAACAAGTCTGGTCTTGTACCATTCAATACTGCCATTAGAGTCGCGTTTGGTCTTAATGACCCATTTACACCTGACTNTAGAATTAGAAGTACAATTGTGCTCCCATTGACCTTCAGATATATACACTGATCAACAGTGTTTTCCTTAAATCTGAAAGTGGCAATGGTATTATGAGACTTAAGGTACCACTACCTAGAAGCTTGTTTCAGTCCATATATTCATCTCTTTAATTTACACACCATGTGTTCCTTCCCTTTAATTGGAAGACCATCAGGTTGTTCCATGTACACTTCTTCTTCTAAATTCCCATTCAGAAAGACAGTTTTCACATCCATTTGATGAAGCTCTAGATTATAATGGGCTACCATTGCCATAATAATTCTAAAAGAGTCCTTGGAGGAAACTAGTGAAAAGGCATCGTTGTAATCAACACCATCTTTCTGAGTAAAACCTTTAGCAACAAGTCTGGTCTTGTACCATTCAATACTGCCATTAGAGTCGCGTTTGGTCTTAATGACCCATTTACACCTGACTGTTCTACAACCTTCACGCAATACTACTAAATCCCAGACTTCGTTGTATTCCATTGATTTTAACTCTTCTTTCATGGCGTCTAACCACTTTGCAGAATTATCACTTTGAAGGGCTTGTGAAAACGAAATTGGATCTGCTTCCATTCCCAAGTCCAATTGTGACTTCTGAAGATAAACCATATTATCATTAGTAATGGCAAATCTCCTTTGTCTTTGAGATCTTCCTAATGTCACTTCTTGTTGTTCATTTACTACTTCATGTGGTTCATCCATTACATGTTCATTGATTGCTACATTATTATGAAGTGTTTGCTCAATTATTTATTATTCTTGATTGTTATCAGAACGTCTGACAATACAAGAACCACAACCTCAATAGAAGCCATAGGCGCAGGAACCTGTACCTTGACTTCTTGAATATCCACTTTACGTGGTTCAACACTCCCACTAGTTTCACCATTCTAAATGAACCTTGCATTTCTAATTTCAACTATTCTCGTACTATGATTAGGATAGTAAAAACGATACCCTTTAGATTTTTATAGATAACCAATAAAAAATCCACTGATCCTTCTTGAATCCAGTTTCTTTTCATGTGGATTATAGATTTTGACTTTTGCCCGGCAACCCCAAACATGTAGGTGCCCCAAACTGGGTTTCCTTCCTATCCATAGTTCAAAAAGAGTCTTTGGAACTGCCTTCTAGGAATCCTGTTTAATAAATATATAGCAATCTTTAATGCATATATCCACAATGATAAGGGTAATGAGGAGTTACTCAACATAATCCTAACCATATCCATTAACATACGATTACACCTTTCTACAACACCATTTTGTTGCGGTGTCCTTGGCATTGTGTATTGAGCACATATGCCCCGACTTTTCAAGAGTTTAGCAAATGGACCTGGACACTGTCCAGATTCATTGTATCTACCATAATCTTCACCACCTCTATCTGATCGAACTACTTTCACCTTTCTATCTAATTGCCTCTCAACTTCAGTAATGAATACCTCTAGGATATTAACAGATTGAGATTTCTCACACAACAAATAGACATATCCATAAGGTGAAAAGTCATCTACAAAAGTGATAAAATAACTTTCCCCACTAAAAGAAGGTACGTCAAACGGACCACATATATTTGTGTGTATTAGTTCAAGGAGTCTTGTGCTTCTAGTGCTTGCTTTCTTAATTGTGGATGTGGTTTGTTTTCCCTTAATACAATCCACACAAATGGCAAGATCAGTAAAATCCAAATTTGGTAAAACTTCATTCTTTACTAATCTTTGCATTCTTTCTTTTGATATATGGCCTAAACGTTTATGCCATAAATAAGCAGATTTCTCATCTACAGAAGCACATTTTGTTCCTATACTATGATGCAGGGTCAACAATGTCTCAGCAAATAAACTATCAAGATGTAATTTATACAATCCATCACAAAGCACACCAGAACCAATTAAACAATTATGTTTAAATAAATTGAAACATCCATTCCCGAATTTAAAAGAATATCCTTCTAAGTCAAGTTTAGATAAAAATATTAAATTACGGGATAACTTTGATACATAAAAAGTATTAAACAAATCTAAATGATGTCTAGTACTTAAAATTAAACGATAGGTTCCAACAACTTCAACTCGTGCTTTGACCCGATTTCCCATGTATACAAATCTTTCATTGTCGTTTATGGTTTGGGTCATAAGGAATCCCTGCATAGTATTAAAAATATGAGTGATACATCCAGAATCAATCCACCAAGTATTATAAGGAACTTTTGATAAATATGATTCAAAACATACAAAAGCACTAGGCTTACCTTTCTTTTCAAACCATGCCATACGTTTCAGGCAGTCCCTCATATAGTCTCCAACTTTCTTACAGAAGTGACACTTTTCTTTAGTCTTATCCTTCTTATGGATTTAGGTAGAAGACTCTTCAATCTTCAGTGGCCTTTTGCCCTTTCCATACTTCTTGTTGGATTTCTTCTTAATTCCGGACGAGCCCACAAGATTAACTAAATGAACTCCTTGTTTCTTCAATCTTTCCTCCTCTTGTGCTAGCTTAGTTTGAAGCTCAATCATCATCCATTTATCTTTAATTATATTATAATTAATTTGAAATAGACTAATTTGAGAAGGTAAAGAGTTAATAACAAACTGAACTAGGAAATTTTCGTCCACAAACATTCCCATGTTCCTAATTCTTGCTGCTATATTTGACATCTCAGTCACATGATCATACATGCTACGAGAATCATCATGTTTCATGATGGTTAGCCTACTCATTAATGCCCTAGTACGGGACTTGTCAGTGGCCTTAGACTGAGAAGTCTCTTTGTCTAATCTCATAAATTCCCTAGCATATTCTGTGGCAAGAAATGAGGTCTTAATTTCACTTGCTATTGTCATCCGTAAAAACTTTAGGCTCAATCTATTCGATCTCTCCCATTCTTTATGGAAAGACCTCTCCTCATCAGTGCTATTCTTAGTAAGATCAGTTGGTTTCTCTATCATGAGTGCAAGCTCGAGATTCTGAATACCCAAGTAATACCCGACTTGCTCACTCCACTCATTATAATTGAACCTATTAAACTTAACAACAGATGAGGCATGAAGAGTAGATGCTGCAAAATCAGAATTATGCTTACACATTAATGCTTTGAGTTTTATACATAATACATAATTTTAGGTTCAGATATTAAAAATTATTATTATTAAAACATAAATGTATATTGAAAATCTCCTTTGAGAGATATAACGATATACGATAATTAAACTTAATTGATGCAATTTTCTTAATTGGTAATCAAATGTACTTTCGTTAGACATGTTCGTTATATTTGGATATACTAAACACACCCTGTCAAGTATATTAATTAACCACAGTTATGTTTATAATTATAGGATTAATTAATCTACCTTTGGGCGATCTTTAACTATCCTATAATTTATGAACTTCAAATTACTCATGTCAACTACATCATGTCATCTCTTTAAAGCATCTAACGATCATGAGTAATTAAATCTAACTTAGTTNAACAATGGATGCAGCACAGGCAGCTACCTCCAGAACAATGGAAAACAATATTAATTGATTTTAATTATAATAATAATTAATTAATTAAAATACCATAAAAGGGTGTGTTTGGTTGCAAGGGTAAACTAGGGTTAGAGTTCATGGCTATTCCTAAGTGGAATAGGGTTTTAATTGTTGCACTATATAAGTGCAACTTAAAATTAAAATATATGAGAATTATTCATTCAATTAAAACCTTAGCCACCCTCTCTCTCTCTCTCTCTCTCTCTCTCTCTTAAGAAAAAAACTTTTCTTGATTCTTGAAGCCCTTGATTGTTCTAGCAAAATAATCAAGGGTACTGAAGGATTATCTTCGTGTGGACTTCCCTGAGTTCGATTCTACTTTGGATCGATTAGTGAAAAATCACGTGACCAGTAACCATGAATAGTATTCCTGTCTGAAATCAGAGATATTCGAAGGAGCCTCCAAACGTACGTAAGTATTCTAATCCTTGAATGGATTTACTTTATATACATTTTTGTTTATAAACATGTAAACGGTATAATCTATACTCAGATCTAGGCAAAGAAAGGTAATTGATTTACCAATTGAATTTTTGTTTTTCGTTGCGTATGGTAGATCAATTACTTACAGTGACCTGTTTACCAATCCGAATACTGACTGGATCGGGTTTACCTGTTTGACTAAATGGGTTGGGCTTCTTTATGGGTTATTATTAATGGTTTGGGTTTGAATTTTCTTAATGGGTTTGGGTTTGGGTTTGAATAGGGCTCACTTAAAAAATAAATATGACTTGCCCTTCTTTTATTTGGGTTTATATAAACTAAAACAAATGGACTTTAAAGGAAATTGGGTTGGATCAACATATGGGTCAATATTTGACCCGAATTTTTGGAAAAATTTTGGAATCCGAATTTCTGGAAATTTTTATTAAAATCCTAATCTAGAAAATCACATTTCATGAGAAAATTTGATTTCGGCCAACTTTCCAACCACTTAATAGATTCACAAACTCAATCAAATTTACAAAACCCAATCAAATTTAACAACCCTTTATATTTGTCAATTTTCAAACCCAATTCAATTTCTTCATCCCATAAGAACCCTAATATATTAAAAAACAACTTAATGGAAAATACACCAGTTTCTAAACCTAATGCTCTTATACCACATGTAAAACAATCTTAATAGCAATTTTATCAATTCCATGAATGACAAAGAATCAACAATATAATCATATTTCTATGCCCTAAAATTGCATAATCTTAAATCTCAAAAATATGAAACTTTGATGCATTTTCACTATTTATAAAACCAATAAAACATACATGAATCCATGTGTAATCTTTAAATGAAATTGTGAAAGCAGACACTGTATATCTCTCCCTTTGTTCCCTTATTATCAATCTCTTCTTTTGATGGATAAGGAAAATATACGTAATGAATTAATTTGGGAATAGAAAGAGAAGACCTTTTTTATAAAACTCCCAAACTATAATTATATAATTAACTGCAGTAACCTATCTATCAAAGGTAAATGACCATCATACCCTTCAGTTAATTTAATTATTTTAAAACAATTATATGATAAAATTAGTACATGGACCACCTTACGAGAAATATAAAATATTTCTAACATACATTCTCATAGCTATAGCCTGTATGTTGATTGAATTTTACCTTTATATCATATTAATCTCTGTTTTTGTTAGTATAAGGTAATGTGTGATACTGACATTACATTAAAATAAACAAAGATACCTAGAATCCGCAACCATTCGTGTAGAAGAGTGGATGATCAAGAGAAGCGATACAAAACAATGGATGCAGCACAGGCAGCTACCTCCAGAGCTGAGGCATTATTCGGAAATACAACCAATACAAGCGGGTGCCCACTAGAGGATTTGATGAAGCTGCCATTCTCCAAGGCCTTCCAATGGATTTGCGCAGAGAAATCAAGTGCTACCTTTGTCTCAATCTAGTCAAACGTGTAAGTTATTTGATATATCTTGTACTACAAGTTAAGAATCCATTCATCCAATAACAAACTTGAGTTTGTTGAACAGGTTCCATTGTTTGATAAAAATGAATAAAACAATGCTAGATTGCATATGTGAGAGGCTAAAGCCTGTACTGGGAACCAAAGGCATGTTCCTTGTGCGTGAAGGCGATCCTGTCAATCAAATGCTCTTCATTATTCGTGGTCATCTTGATTCCTACACTAAAAATGGTGGCCGTACAGGATTCTTCGACTCATACTGGATTGGCCCTGGATATTTTTGCAGCGAGGAGTTGCTGACATGGGCCTTGGACCCGCGTCACAGTATCATACTTCCATCGTCTACACGCACTGTCAAAGTCATTACCGAAGTAGAGGCATTATTCTTATAGCTGAGGACAGAGAATTTGTAGCATCACAATTTAGGAGACTGCATAGTACACAACTTAGGCACACATTCAGGCACTTTAAAATGGCAAAAAAACCCTTAAAAATGACAAATACCCCCTTACCTGGCACTTGTTAACAAAAATAAAATTACAAATTATAAATTCAAAATTACAAACTCCGTTACTTTGTAAAGGTAGATTCTCAAAAGTCAAACCAACTTACTTTAAATGTTATGAAATATAAATATAAATATATTCACATTACTTTTTTTACAAAAAAATTTATTAACCCCCCTACTCTTTAATTTTATTTTATATTAGTCTCGGTTCCCGGTTCTGGTTCCAAAAATTTGGAGCCGGAACCTACCCGTTGACAACCGGTTCTGGGTAAGAACCAGAACCAAACCCCGGATAACCGCCAGTTCCGGTTCTAATCAATTCTTTTGAACACCCCTACTACTCACACTAGTAGAGAACATGGGGTGCATGTTTTGTTCAAGTTACGTGGCACTGGCATAAGAAGTTAAAAGAAGCAGCTAAATCAAGGAATTGTGAGCCTGAAATGCCCTTAGTGGTATCATTATGATACGTTTACAAGTCCTAAAATACTTGTAAACACGAGTGGACAAGGAATTACAAGTTCTAAAACACTTGCTAATTCGGTTGGATTGAAGAATTTCACTCAAAGTCCTAAAACATTTGGATTGTGGAATGTGGAATGCAATGGATAAAATTTGACCCAAGCAAGTTCCAAGGAGGGAGAGAGTTCAAACATTTCGGCCCAAACCATTCCAAGCCCAAGCTCAACAAGGGAAGCTCAAGCCCACTGAGAAAGAAGTCCAAGTGTTGAAGTTGTCCAATCTGACGTCTCATTCCAAAGGGGAAGATCCACATAAACCTTTATTGGATCCATTTGCTAGATTCTCAAGACCCAAACTCTTATACCTTTATTAGTAGACTTAATTAGGATCATTGATCGAGTTTTGATCTAATAAAGTGAGCTTATTTCAACTAATGGGGTGGTTAAAGACAGATCCTAGAATTAGGGGATTATGTCTCTTTGCATTAAATAGGCATGACCTTGCTTTTTGAATGAATGGCTTGTAATATTAGTTAAGTTTAATTTCATTTTTATTGTATTTGTCAATTACTTATTTAGCCTTGTATTTGCCCATATAAGGGCAACTATTTTATTGTAACATTTAACTTATGAAATATATTAAAATTTGGTTTATCCATTTGAGAGAACTTGTGTGTTTTTGAGTGTGCATTCTTTATCCGAGTCTTGGCAAGGGGATTTGGTAGTGAATCAACTCAAGTTGATGGAGCAATCCTTTATGCTTGAAGTGTTTCTACTTGTCTTGGTTCGAAAATTGCAAGTAAGTGACTTGAACTCCAATATTTGTGTTGGCCGAATTTAGCTTGGATTTGTGTTGTGTTGTGTTGTATTGGTTGGAAATGGATCACATTCCGGGACAAGTATGCCGAGTCTAATTGTGTTGATGCTTGATTTTGACACCAACTAAACGCACGTGTGAAATGCTGAGCTGACCCAGAAGACACACGTGAATGGGGATATGAGAATGGATAAGAGATGGGGAACGATATTTAAAGTAGTTCGGATGCTTAAACAAGCGACTCCTATGTCCACTGATATTGTATTGATATATTGAGGTCAAGTCGCGTTCAGCGAGCTGATGTACAAGAGATTACAAGCGAGAGGGAGAATATATATATGCTTTTTTAGAGAGAAATTAGCTAATCCCACAAATGGAAGAGGATCCCTTTATTTATAGTGGGATAAATTGAGGTAATGATTACTAAATCAGGAAGTAGGTCAGATTGCCGTGCTAATCCTTCCTAGCGTCCCGTTGCTCATCTGCTCGAGTGATTTACTCGACTTTTGCAGGGATTGGACACGGGGATCACCCTCAGCCTTTCACCAACCTGGCGCGCACCTATTGCATTGGCAGGAGCATGCTGCTTGAGTCATCGTGTGACGTGACTGTATCTAAACGACTGCTGGACTTACCTAAGCTCTAACCACTTATGCTGACAAGGCTCTGCGTCAGCCCTACTTTTCTAGGCATAACAAATTGCAAACACAAAGTGTCAGTTTCAGGCAATCTCCGTAAACTTTTGGTGTTGTGAACCCATTGCACTGTCTATTGAGCTTGAGACAATGTATTTAGGCGTTAAGTGAGATTGAATTATCAAATAGAAAATGGAAACTCTTGCACTTTAAGAAAAATAAAATCATCTAATTGGATAATCAGTCGTTTGATCTGATTGTGATTATATAAGATTAGTTCAAATAGAATTCGACCCAGTTTGTCTAGTTGATGGGCTTATTTAACGTGAAGAGCAACAAGCCCTCATCACTATTTTTCAGTTTAATCTTCTCCAGTTAAGCCTGTATTAAATTGTTATGGTAACGGTGGTGAACTTAAAGTAAGTTTTCTTGATTATATGTACTTTAAAGTTCTGGAAATCTGTCAATTTCCGAAGGTCAGAGTCTTTCCTTAACACAAATTTGTTGGTAAATTTTGATTTTTGTGCCTGTGGTTGCTGATATTAGAACATCTGATTTCTGATTATTGGGCCTTGACCCAGTTTTAAATTGAATTAGTCCCTTAAAGGTCAGTTATGTTGATTGAGTCAAAAAGAAAGAAGAATGGAATCCATAACTCATATATTATTGGATTGGAGTAAATTTTATTATCATGAACTGAAATACCACTTGTAAATCATTTTAAAATCCTTTTCAATATCCGTTCGGGAATAGAATCCCATTTAGAATTTGCCTGTTATTTGTTTAATATATATTTATGGTTTACGTGTGGGTCAAAGACTCTGTGCATGGCACGTGCAGAAACAGGCCTATGATCCTGGAAGTGGGGCCGATTAAATGGGGCAAGCAACAGACGAATCCAGACAGTTGCTAATATAGACAGAACGGTGATGATTTAATGCAAACACAAGGGTTTGTCTTTTGTAGTTACACAGTCATATCAAAGACATGGAGGTGTTCAGACCTGTGCTGTACCTCCATTAAAATATGTAGTCGAAAACAATGTAAAAATATTAATAATAAATAGCACAACCCAATTACAAAAATAGAATTGTGTAAACTGAAGAGTTAGTTCGGGATTAGGATACACTACAGGGCATTAAATAGTAAGGAAATGGTAGAAAGCGAGATCTCGGTGGGTGGTCGGATTAGATCTAACTAACCAGTAATGGTGATGATTAAAGAATTTTATCTTACCTAATTAAATAAATAATTGGATGGAAATTATAAACACCGTCAAGGACTGGACAGGAAAACAATGTTAGGTTGGAGACGGACCCTTTTCAGATCTCAATCTCAAAAATTAAAATCGGTCTTTGCTTTGTGACTTAAATCAAACTCATCCACTTCGTTTCTTCGAATGCCATTTATTGCATTAGTCTCTCTCGACGGTTGTAATGAGGTTTGCTTATGGAGGACTGTTTTAATTATGAATTAATCGATATATACGTGAGATGTGGAAAGTCAGAATAAAACAAGATTAAAGAGAAAATGTATATAAAAGTAGAGTGATTAGATAGAGACTCTTAAATTTATTACTTAAGAGGTTCTGATTTTGAATTCCTCTTTGATTGCTAATAAATGTGTATTATCAGAACTCTTACTTGATCGATAGTTTTAAAATCGTAAAGGATTAATTGAAATGCATATAAACTGATTCGAACCTTTTAATCATAAAATGATTTATTGAGATATATATAAACTAGTCTGGACAGTTGATTAAAAAAAATAAAAATAAGATAAAAGTATAGTTGACATGATGCAAATGTGTGTGGAATCAGAAATTAGGTTTTAATTTGTCCGAACGGGAAATCAATTCTTCACAAATCAAGCTGTCAGATCTCTAAATAATTCAAAAAGTCTATCTAACACACTCATGCTTTTCCTGTATACAAATACAATATTAAATACAATATAATTTATATCAAATCAATGTACGTGACGGAATGTCATTTTATCAATTGTCCTTGGCGTTCAGCTTCTTGCTTCAATAGTCTTATTAAAGTGAAAACACAAAAGTCTAAAGGGGTCGTTGTCAATTAGGGTATTTGACCTGAATCAAACAGCATATTTTATTAAAGTGTCATAGTTGCTTATGGATGTCACGTGAAGAGTGAAAAAGAGTAGTACTACATATTATAGGAAATGATCATTTTTTTTTTTTTTTTGTTTTTTTTTTTTTTTTTTTTTTTTTGTGTGACTAGGCTCAAGTTTTGATTTTTTAACTCCGGTTTTTGGATTATGGGTTTACTTGTTCGTACGTGGTGGAGTTGTGGGTCATTTATTTATTTATTTTTTTGGATCTTTGCATGCTTTTTATATATCTTATATTTTTGAAGTTTTTTTTTTTTTTAATGATTGGGGGTATCCGGACCAGTTTACGTACATCTCAACTAATCTCCTGGGAGTCGGGACCCTAGAACTACCAATTGGATACGAGCTCTAATGATTTCCCCCATTAGCAATTGTGAAGACTCAAACTCGGGAGACCATGTTAGATTCTCCTCTTTACCCTCAAGAGGACTCGAATTTAGGAGATAATTTTAGATCCTCCTCTTGGGAGAGGAGACTATGTTAGATTATCCTCTTGTTATTTTACCATTAAGAGGATTCGAACTTGGGAGACCACGTTAGATCCTTCTTTGCTCTTTTACTATCATGTCACGCAATAGTGGTTAGAAACTAGCTTTGATTTCCTTACATGGAAATATAATAGTATTTACTTAAATTTTTAATATTATATATATTAATATTTCTTTAGAACAATGTTATGCCTAAAAAATCAGGGCTGACGTAAGATTACATCAGTGAGCACTAATCATAGTTTAGAAAGACTTTGCGCCTCCCAAAATCTGCTACGTCGCTTCAAGACAAAGAGAATATGGCTGTCAATAACCCAGGAGATTCAAGTTTTATCTGTGAATGAACATGGTCTGCACACTTGTCCAAACCCTATATAATTTAAAGATATCTCCTAAGTTATCAACCAATAGGATCCAAGGAAGGACTTGCACGGCATCTACCCACTTGCTAACTTGTAAGTATTACCTTGAACTCAGCGGCTATAAATAAAAGACTCTCCCTCACAAAAGCGGGATTAGACTCTCTGAATTCAACAAAGTAAATAACAAAGACAACCCATGGGAAAAAGACTAACTTAATATTCTCTCTAAATATCAACCTCTTATAATTCTTTTCAGTATTCGCGATCTCTTGTAAACTTGACTAATTATCAAGAATACTCATATCAAAGAGAACAATTGATATAGGAATCGTTTTAAACATCCAAACTACTATAAAAATTATCTATCTCATTTATTATTAAGTCTTTGCATGTTACTATGACCTTTGACCAAATCTCATAATATAATCATATATAATTTATAAGATTATCTTAACACTTCCCACGTTCAAAATTATTGACATCAAAATTAAGCATCCACAAACATATATTAAGATGGTTGTTAATTTTAATTGTGAATGTTGAAGCTTAAATTTCTCAGCATTTTGTTAGAATAAAACGAAACTGCCCTTAATTGTTGATTTGAATATATAATAAAGAAAAAACTTGAAAAATGTGCACATTATTATAGAATTGAGTTGGACCGTCACTTGCTGGCTTTGTATTCACAGCCATGCATGACAGAAGAGAGACACACGTGGCAAGATTCCATAGGCATGCGTATCTAACGTAGTCAACTCCTCCGCTCTTTAGTCTTTACAAGAAAAAAGTACAGTACACGATCACCTTCTTCTCTTCCTTTGGACACACTCTTTTGCTTCTGTCTTCATGTCTTTATTTTTTATCTCTCTTGTTTATATCTTAGCTTCATTCATTTTTTTATTGTAGCTTTCTTCCAATTCGGCAATTAAAACCATAATCAATCATTTATATTATTTATCTCATTCTTAATTTAATACATTTTCTGTCGGCTTTCTCATAATTCTGAGCTTTTAAAGTCTTTGATATGTACATATAGAATTGGAGCTCATCATTTTCAAGCGAGTATTGCTAGGACTTTCCACACTTTCCCCTTTCAGCCTCTTTCTCATTCTTTCCATAAATAAACCCTTTGATAATCCTTTTTTTTTTTATGATTACATTTCATTCATTGTTGTTTCTCTGAATTTGGTTTAAACCCAGAAAAGAGATTCTGGTAGCATGGTGGAAGTGGAACCAAAATTATTTCATGTTTGTAAGTCCTCTTTTACTCTCTTATTTTGAATATATAAAATAGACCACTAGGATTAGCTTATATGTTTTCTTTTTCAAAGATGCGAAACTTCTAATGGAGGTTTTACTTTATTCGTTTGATCACTGCAGGCTATTTAAGTAATTGTTTAATTTGTTAGCGGTTACTCTGCGCGTTGCATTTGTCAGTCTTTGATTATAAGAAAAGATATATATCACAATTGGAGATTCAGGGTCAGTTTTATAATGACGAAATACGTAGTATAATAATGATGAAATATACGTATGGTCTGAATATGTTTCTTCTTCAACTGATATTTGACTTTAAGAAAAAAAATCAAGTAGCTCTCCTTAAACTTGCGTGAACAAACCTTTGATGCAGATTTAAAGTAGTATATTAAAGAAATTACTCACATGTTTTGACCTGCTCCTCTGTCCTGAAAATAGGGATAACCTTTAGGCCTTACTGTCCAAGTTGAATCATCTTTTTTTCTGTTCACATGATTCCTGATTAAAGAAGCCATTGCTGGATTTTTGTAGCTCCAGGATTTGTGATTGTGGTCCAATATATATGTACAAACAGTTTATAGAAAGCTAAGCCCTTTTTGTACCACAGATCAAATCCTGTAGCTGAAGCCACGACGATTCTTTCAGAAAAACAATCATGGGTTACGGTAATTCAAGATCTGTAAGGTTGGTCATTTCATCATTCTTCAGTTCTTGTTATGCTATTTGTTTAGAGCTTTCATTAGTTGCTTAAAGATTAGTACTTTCAGATTTCAGGACGATCTTGAATTAGCAAAACGCCCTGCAATCAATGGAGATGGAGTGATTAAGCTCAAGTACAAGATTGATGGAAAACAAATACCTGAGACCAGTACCAAGAAGGCTGAGACAGAGGTCTACGGGAAGGCCGGAAAATTCCTGAAAACAAGAGTGCTGTCCAGAGTGTTCTCTGAAGATTTTGAGAGAGTGAAGAAAAGAATATTGGATCCTAGAGGACCAACAATTCGCAGATGGAATAAAATATTTTTAATAGCATGCATAATTTCTTTGTTTGTAGATCCTCTGTTTTTTTACTTGCCAATAGTAAGAAATGAAGTGTGTATAGAAATTGGAGTACCCCTTGAAGTGTTTCTCACAATTATCAGATCACTATCTGATGCCTTTTACATTATTCAGATATACATTAGATTTCGTACAGCTTATGTTGCGCCGCCTTCTCGTGTATTTGGGAGAGGTGAGCTTGTCATTGATTCTTCGAAAATCGCTTTACGGTACCTCAAAAAGGCCTTCTGGATCGACTTCATTGCAGCCCTGCCACTTCCTCAGGTTTGTCACAAAGAACTTAATTTGATGTCTTTACTGTATATATGATCATGTTTCTAGCTGCTAAATTAAGGCTTCATTTCTATGTTTCAGGTGTTGATTTGGATTGTTATCCCCAATCTTAGCGGCTCAACAATGACAAACACAAAAAATTTCCTTCGGTTCATTATCATTTTCCAGTACCTTCCTAGGCTGTTTCTTATATTACCACTTTCACAACAGATGGTTAAGGCCACTGGAGTTGTGACAGAAACAGCTTGGGCAGGAGCTGCTTATAATCTTATTCTCTACATGTTGGCAAGTCATGTAAGTAGAAGAAGCCTTTTTCTATTTTATTTTCAGAAAGTAGTTAAATAGCTGAGAAAAATCATAGATAACACATGCATCCTCTAATTGATCGTTGGTGTTATACTAACCATATAAACTGTATCTGCATCATTAAAACTGCCAAGCTATGAGATCTGAAATCTAGCTGTTATTCTGAATTTTTAATGTATAGATTTGGAAAGCAAAGCGATATTTGATATCTCACTTCTTTCAAGCATATGCATGTGGGTTATGAATACAATATATCCTGATTCCTGAACTTGTACTTTTAATTTCATTGTTCATGAATTTCACTCATTCGTAGGTTGGCAGATCAGTTGTGCCATTTTTTAATTATTAGTTGTACTTGTATAGCACTGAACATGCCATTAGTTGCAATTAAGGATTAAACAGTAGAAAGATTATACATTCTGGCTAAGTGATAAATGTTAATAACTTTGCATTGTGATTATCAGGATCAACTTGTCTTTCGTTCTATAAGCTGAAAATTGACTATAATCCTGGTTATTCTCTTCTATTTAAAAGGTTTTAGGATCTTGTTGGTACCTGCTCTCAATTGAACGACAAGAAGCATGCTGGAGAAGTGCCTGCAATGATGAGAAGCCATCATGTCAATATAAATATTTCGATTGCCACAGGGTTGAAGACTTTGGCAGAGATTCCTGGTTCAAATCAAGCAATATCACCAACCTTTGTGATCCAAACACTAGCTCCTATGAGTTTGGTATATATGGTGATGCAGTCACATTTGCTGTCACAACAGCACCATTCTTCAACAAATATTTTTACTGTCTCTGGTGGGGCTTAAAAAACCTGAGGTAAGTTTTATTGCACATCTAATGACTTGTTAGTTGAAAAACCATTTGACATTCTAATTTTATGTTTTGAACCAATATGTGCAGCTCTTTGGGACAAAATCTTGCCACAAGCACTTACGTTGGAGAAATAAGTTTCGCAATCATTATCGCGACACTCGGGCTTGTTCTCTTTGCATTGCTTATTGGGAATATGCAGACATACCTCCAGTCCACAACAGTGAGATTAGAAGAGTGGAGAATCAAGAGAACCGATACAGAACAATGGATGCGTCACAGGCAGCTACCTCCAGAGTTAAAGCAATCTATCAGAAAATATGATCAATATAAATGGGTAGCCACTAGAGGAGTTGATGAAGAAGCTCTTCTCAAAGGCCTTCCAATGGATCTCAGGAGAGACATCAAACGCCACCTCTGCTTCAATCTAGTTCGACAAGTAAGTCAAAAAAATTTCAACCACAAGTGAATGCTTTATGGTTTATGACAATTCAAGTTTGATGTGTAATTTATTAATGAAATTAAACAGGTTCCATTGTTTGATCAAATGGATGAAAGGATGCTTGATGCAATATGTGAGAGGCTTAAACCTGCCTTATGCACTGAAGGCACATTTCTTGTACGTGAAGGTGACCCTGTCAATGAGATGCTATTCATAATCCGAGGCCACCTTGATTCTTACACCACCAATGGTGGCCGAACGGGCTTCTTTAACTCATGTCGCATTGGCCCTGGGGACTTCTGCGGTGAGGAACTGTTGACATGGGCTTTAGACCCCCGCCCGAATGTCATTCTGCCTTCATCAACTCGATCAGTCAAATCCATTTCAGAAGTTGAGGCATTTGCTCTAAGTTCAGATGACTTGAAGTTTGTAGCATCACAATTTCGAAGACTACATAGCAAACAGCTTCGACACAAGTTCAGATTCTACTCACACCAGTGGCGAGCATGGGCTGCTTGTTTCATACAGGCAGCATGGCGCCGGTTTAAAAAACGAAAGGAAGCAGCTCAACTAAGGGCTAAAGAGAACCTTGCCGCTGAGGCTGAATGTCCCCCACCTCCTTCAGGATTATCTATGTATGCTGCAAGATTGGGTGCAAGTACTAGAAGAGGCAATATGAATAAGCATTCTGGGTCTGATTCCCGGGTTGTTAGTCCATTGCAAAAGCCTGCAGAGCCAGATTTTTCCGTAGATGAGGAATGAGTAGTGTTAACTATAGTTATGGGCGAGCTGCGTCTGTACTCTGTACATTGTTATTCTTTAATTAAGCTAAAAATATGGGGGCGTTCATAATATTTCTTTATTTATTGATGTATTTGTAAGGTGACAGTTGGGAAATTTTGTTACATAGTAAAGACATCTTTGTTCTAATTTTTCAAAGTGATGCATGTTGTAGCTCAGAAAGGGGAAAAAAAAAAGTTTGGCAATATATTGTGGTAATTAATATCAGTTTTTGTTGCCTGCATGCTTTGATGTTATTGAGCGATTAGGGAGAAGAAATATCATATTTCACATTTGCAAGCGCATATACTTATTAAATAAAAAATGTTAACAGTTTGCAAGCCATTACTGCAAAACATTTGACATGGATGAATGAGAGAAATGCTAAGTTTGCTAAATGCAAAGTGATACCCTTATAGATGAATCAAGGCAATGGTTTGGTCAAGAATGAAGATTGCTACTATGTCAAATCTAGTGGAAATAAAGTTGTTTGCTTTCGATCTATGCCCGCACATGCTTGTATTGGGTTTTACGCAAGCATCCTTTACCCAATATACATTTATTTAGTTAAAATGATTCAAAACTTTAATACTTAATCTTAGACTCATTCGCTAGTGATATGAGATGTGACAAATTATGTCCTATCTAATATATTGAATCATTGATTGCTATTATGGTATTTCAATGTGATAAATAATGCAATACTCTTGTGAACGTTTTAGTGAAAGTCCCTCGCTATGAAACAAGTCTTCTATTCATCGTGAGTAAATAATTTGAGAATAGAATTGACCATAATTTGCTTAAGGCATTCAGCAATTTATCAAATTCATGGAGATTGGATTTCACAAGGTCAAAAAGGCCCTTTTTGTTGGGCTTGAAATATCCCAAGCACCCACAAGAAGCCCAAGTTCCAATTAGGCTACATATAACATGACATGAGGTGGACTTTGAATCCTTAAGTCGTAATGAAGTTGCAACAGAGCTTCAGCATAAAGGGATACAAAGCCACAAAGAGAAAACAAGAATAGAAAGTGAAAACATTTGTACGAATTTCACGCAATTTGCAAAAGTAGATGCAGCCGAAAAGATTGCAGGTGAAAGAGGATTAGGAACAAGATACTTTAGCTAAAAACGGTGCTAATTAAAGTTTAAACACAATTAAACATGATATGCCATGCATAAAGTCAATATACTTTAACAAAAGCTATTCTTACCAGCCACGATA